GAGTTTCTCCACCATTTCCATAGTGCAATTGCATAAGGCCACAAGATAAAGACTAACGTTTAAGGTTTAGGGTACTGGTAGGGAGGTGAGTTGGTTGTTAAGCTGTTTAAGAAGCAGGAAAATCGAGGCAAACCAGTTGGATACTTCCAACATCAGTTTCCAGTATTAGGTACGAAGTAGGATTTCCAGCGAGTTGATGCTTTTTGATTGACTGTTAACAGTCATTTCTACAGATTTCTCATAGTTTGAAGTGTTCGAAGAGCTTAAGAGTGTTCGCAAATAATCTTCTTGGAAATCGTGCCACCAACTTTTAGTTTTCCTCTTCATATCAGTCTTACAAATAAATATGAAGGTTGCTTTTACGTGACAGATTTTCCCCAAAGGTTGGATTATGCCTACGCAATACACACCGAATTAACCTTTTTCGAGTGAAAAGTTGATACTTGGTTTCCCCTTAACCTGTTTTACTGCTTGAATTTTCCTCTTGGCACTTTCTCTTTCTCAATCTTTGTGGTCTAGTAGGGGCAACATACGCCTCTGCCCCAGGGCAACCGCGTTGACAAGGTCAATGCTATGAGTTTTAAAACCATCATCCATAGTCACCCTGACTAACCATTCTTTGATCGTAGACACACACAGATGTTCTGAAGCTTCCACTCAACCATGTCGATGTACGTTCCTCATGCGCTACCTCTAATCAACGAGCAAGCTATATCCCAGCTTGTCTTGTTATAACTTTTGTACTTGGATTGTGAGACGGTGGAGGCGATATGTATAGTACCGGTTGAAAAAGGGAGTGGTACTGTACACAGTACTTTTGATGGTCGCTTCTTAGGAACTTGGAACTAACGCATGTCGGAAGAGAACGAATACATTGACATATAACTAGGTCAAGTACTTTCTCACCACTCGTCGGATTAGTGACGAGTTGATTCCATTCGAACATATCTAACGTACTGAGGAAACTATCATATCTAGAAGGTCAAGTATACGCGTCCTGTCTAACTTCCGGTAGATTAAAATCTCCGCATACAATCTTGTGATCATACTGAGGGGAGAATGTGTATTCAAGAGCACCAGTGAGCAAGGACTTGCCCTCAGGAAACGTCTTATGTGCTCTGTGTATGCAAACAAGCAATGCCGTTACATCTTTGTGGTGCACTGTGACCCATAGGGAGTCTTTAATTTTACTTACCACAACATTTTCCGGCCTCAATACTTTTAGGGTGCTCCTTCATGATCTTCTATTCAACCAGTTTAATTCACTTCACCGTATTCACATGATTCCTACGATATCCGTTTCTCGCCATGGTACAACACTGTTCTCCTTCCGAGTGTCACTTGTTTGAATTCGACGAGTAAAAAGTATCAGTAATTGGTCTCTGAATCTATCAAGATCTCCGAGGGCCACCCCTTGAAAGAGGATTATTGAAAATGCGCGGGTAGCTGTGATGGTAGTGGTTAATTTAACAAACAATATGAAAATCCGCAATCCGAGTTGAAACCTCAGGAAGAGTTAGTTGGTGTACTGTTGCAAGCCAAATATAATTTGCCGTTTACTTTCATTTTTTTTCCTCATTTCCATATAGACTAGTTTGACGGCGGGCCTGAAATGACCTGAAAATGCAAGCGAGTGCATAGCACGATGGAAAGACATATTCGGAACATCAAAGCAGATTGGAAGTGATGCATTTGGTAGGACACTGTTGATAGCTGAAGTGTCAACCAGTTACTTTGCAATGCTATCCAGTGTGGGGTCGACAGACTTCCATATTATTGGGGGGTAAATATGCCACTTATGTTCGTTGCTGATACTACAGTGCGCGGTACTGTTTAGATGGTCATTATGTTCGACTGATACCTACTGCATCTCTCAGTGGAAATGTAAGGATGTGTGCTAAAGCTTATGGGCGAGTGTGTTTTATACGTTAATGACGCATCCAGGACGGCTACTGCTGCCCCTGAAGTTGACAGGTTTAGTGCTAAAAGGTGCGATTCAAGCAAATTATCTAACTTCAGCATTCTATTCTCTTTCAGGCAGTGTGGTCCTGTCCTATGCGGCAGTGACTGAAAGCCACCACACTGGAATGCTACTCACCTCGCTTTTGTAACATTTGCTTGTAATGCCTGCTCTATCTTGATACAAAGCTGTTATAAGCCATGTTTTTGTGCCATTCATATGCAGACCGCTGACTGCTAGGGCCAGTGGCATAAGGACGGGGATGTCGACCGTTGTGATATTCTATCGTTTCCACCTTTTGCTATTTGAGGGGTCAAGTTTCGGGATCGTGGAGGCAAACGGTCTTCGGGTAGTTCCAGATTCCCACGAAGGGCAACTATGACTGAAATAAGTAGATCGGTTTGGTGAATCATCCATGTGGGTAATGCACGTGTGAATAGGTTACCAGCCACTCGTTTTCACTGCTTGAAGTGCTCATAGTCACCAAGCTTAAACCAGTCGATTCTGCTGTGATCCCTTCTTGATCTCAGGAGACAATTCTCCGCTTCCATTTCTTTTGTAATGACTCCAGCTATTCATCAACAGCACATGTTATAGATACCCGAAGATGATTGTGACGCTCAAAGGAAATTATGACTGGTAATTGAATCTCTGCTATCATTCTATCGGCGTGCGTCCACTTAACAGTCGGTCGTTCTAATTAATCGTTCTCACAAAATTGGTGTGCGATTCATAAGATAACTGCTGTATGATAGGCGAACAATTCCTATTGGAAAGGAATGTATGGGGTTATGAAGCAATGCAAGAAAGCAACAAAACCGGAACGAGAAAAATGAAAAATCATTGAATGACAATACTGAAGAGCTCTAAAGAGCAATAAAGGAACAAACGTGCTCTGAAACCTGCTTAATCAGTACCTTAGATAACTTTATAAACCGTAGCTGAAAGTTACTGAGTAGTCAGTCACCTTCATATGACGACTGTGGATAATCAATTTGTGTCCAAAGCACCGTTTTTTCTCACTATCTGACAATTACAGTAGATAGACTAGGAGGGAATCACATCCTGTCACAGTGTTCATGTTTCACTCCTATACGGTTGAAGGGATGTACAATCAACACATTCTGTGATTATAATCGCAGAATAATTTATTTCGAGTTGGTCTGCTTCACAGACTGACATCAGTTGAAGTAACATTGGAAAGCTGAGTGCGCTGGACAGAGGTTGTTTCGTCCGGGAATGGGGCTTCTCATCGACGCGCACACTGGTCACACTACCGTGGAACGACTGAATGACCTTCGGGCTTTACGGTAAGCATGTTACCATTGAAGCAATCAGCTGCAACTCAATCGTTCTTCTGTCTATTCACGTGTGGTATAACACAACCTTCCGTCTTTATCGACGACCTTAGAAGAAGGGAAGAACAATCAGTGTAGGCAATACCTTTTGGCAAACAAAACTAATCTTTTAATATTGAAGATGAAATCAAGAAAGTGCGTCTTGGCACATCTGGACCTCATCAGCTTCCACATACCCCTGAAAAACTTGTTAATATCGAGACAGCGCAGTAACCTCCATCCCCAACTCCCCATATACCAATATAGTCCAGTCAACAATGCAGATTTGCAAAGTATACCACCACAAGAAACCATACCTTTAGCTCGGTGAATGACTATCCTGACTGACCGATCTGAGGTTTGAAGCAGTCGGTCCCGAGTTCCAGTTCTACGGTGGGAATAACATCACTCACCACTGGAAGGCAGGTACACGAAGCTAAAAGGTCCCTAAAAGAACGAGACGCACACCACGAACTCTACTGCTAACCACCCTTCATCATTAATACAATCAGTCACGAGGGATTCGTACACCAGTGCCTGTATACCAATAGCGGCTGGTTAGTTCACTTCAGTCAATAACAATGAAGATCCACAAAGTATCACATAGAAACTTAAAGCATAGGTTGCATGGATCATGCAACAAACAGTGGGGAGCGAGAAAAGGGGGATTAGCTGGACTGTGGAAAAGAACCTAGAAGACTTGGATTTCGCCGATGACTTGTGTCTAGTGTCACACAAACTTGATGATCTAAAGGCAAAAACTAACTAGTTCACTGAAAAGGCAAGGCAGGGCAGAGAAGACGGGACTCCCTTCAAGTTAACGTAGAGAAGACACAGGTGATCATGATACACAACCAACACCAACACCACCACCAACAACAACAAGAAGCTCCAATCACCATCACCAATCACGGGAGAAACTCAAAGGAAGTAGTCTCTTTCACCTACACCTACACCTAACTACGCAGAACTGTTTCAACTACAGGTCGCAGCACACGCACAGATGAAGATATCAAGGCCAACCAGGATTGGAATCACAGCAACACAGGCCTTCATTAATCTGAAATCAGTGTGGACATCTACTACACTGCACTCAGCAGAAAGTGTGAACAACATCCCGATTCTCAACACCAATCCAGTCAAGTCACTGCTTCTGTGTGATGGTTCACAGACCCGGTGCCTTAAGAAAGGCATTTCCAACAAACTACACACACTCATCAACAACTGCCTACGCTGGCTGCTTACTGAAGATGGTGATCAGATGGCAAGAATAATCAGGATAAGCAACGAGCAAATCACTCTGGCTGATTGGCAATGAACCAACCAAGAGCCTATCGCTCAACAAATATGTACTGGAAGGAAGTGGAGATCGATTGGGAGGGCATGCACTGAGAAGACCGACTGGGGACATAACGCACCAGGCCAAGCACTCGAGTGGAACTCAGATGGAAAGCGACGAGTTGGGCATCCCAGTTGAGGGTGACATGCAGGAGATCGTGTGAGGAAGAAATGAAAGTTTCTGGGCTGTTGTGGAACCACGTTGAAAAGACTGCAGAGAATAGAGCGCATTGGAGACATGCTACTGAAACCGTATGTTCCATTAGGAATCTAAGGGACAAATAGTAATAATAATAATATATTATCATGAAATCTTTCAATAAGCAAAGAGAGTGGTGAGAATGAATTATAAATTTATCAATTCATTAACAAGCCATAATAATTGGTTCTCCAAATTTAACACGTTGACCAGGTTTTATACACCATTGAAATTGATTTATTGGCCCTTGAAATATTAATACAATTGTAGATCCTAGACGAAAATAGCCTAATTCATCACCTTTCATCAATTTCATATTATGGTGTAATGTTGTTTCTAAATATGGTGGATTATTATTAATATTATTATTATTATTATTATGAGGATTTGTTGTCATGAGTGTATTTGTTAGACGATAACGTAAAGTATTATCCTTTCGTTTGTTTGTTATCAAGGCAGGATCAATATTGATGTGTATACTTCCAACACCAAATGCACCAACGGCTGTAAATGACATTAATCCATAATTCCATTCACCTAAATAAACTACACGTTCATTGATAGTATATAAACCAGGTAGACGTTCAGCAATATTAGGTCGAACTGAAAGTAGTCTACCTGTAAAAAAAGATTAAAAAAAAAAAAACAATGAAATATAAACTATATCGACATTTCACGCAGATACTGACTACGCACGTCTAACTCATGTTACACCCAACTGTAAACAACCTCCTGTCGAAAAATTCTACACTCCACTTCCTTCACGTTGTAAGATACATAAGAACAGACTATGACAAAATGTGCATCCTGGATTCTACTGGTAGCCACTGCCCATCATTACTAAGCATAATTAAAAAACACAGGCAATATTGAGGCATCCGCATACGAACCCATATACCAACAGAGATTGATCAATTCAGTCCAATCAACCAAGGTGTCATACAAGCAATAACATTAAAACTATAACCGTCGCACAAGAAGTGGCTTTCGTGGCTAGGTGGTGTAGTGAATAACGCTCTGGCGTTTGAAGCGATCACTTCCAACTCCGAGTCCCAATGGGAATAACATCACTCACTAGGAGGTAGGTACATCCAGCTGACCAGTGAGTCCTAAATAGAACGAAATGCACATCTTGGATTATTCCACTGCTAACCACTGCCCATCATTACTAACTAAGACTATGATCGTTTGATGATAGAAGAACAATAGACAAGCTTCATCTTTGCATAGATAAGTTACACAGATGACTAAGGAAAATATAGAGGTAATACAAATTTCTTATGAACATACAAGATTCGAGCATTCCTTAGATGAGATTTCACCGTTTCTATTGTATGTAAAAGATGAACTCGTAGAGTGTATAGATGAGATAAGAAAGAGCATGATGAATAGCCTTCAACAAATTACTAATATGAATTCGGTGACTTGTGTTAACTAGATGACAGAAACGATCTTGTTCATTATTCCCTGTTTAAAGATGGTAGATGATGTCTAGCAATTTTGATGATAGACTTATCTAATGAGACGCCAAATGTAACTAACTGTAGAGAAGCAGTTCAACTGGTAAGTGTATGCACATAGAGGAGATGAAATCAGATAGCTCGTCATTAATTCACAAAATCGAAGACTGACAGTAGACATTAAGAAATACAGAATAACTTTATAGTATTACATGATATTTTCACAATGATGAAGATTTTTAGCTCAGTATAAGCATGTTGAATGGTTCGATGTTCTCTGAGTTTCAATATTTTGTCTTGGAGGTTTTATCACCACGCTGGTTAATAACCTCATATTAGACGAATGTTCATGTACTGTTTATGCTGACGTCAAGTGTTTTTCACTTACAACTTCAGGAAGATACTTTTATCAAACCTTGATGTTTTTTTGTGTGAGGAATCTCCATTATCTGAGATGGCTTCTACATGTGTCGCGTATCCCTCCCTGGTCAGTGCTAGGAGAAGTTGGATCAAGTCAGAAGAGGGTTTAGTGTAGCTACGCTAAGACCTGGCACTAGTCTATGAAGTCTTTGACTGCTGATCTTACTCATGTGGGGGAGATATAGACTACCTGACTGGGGTCTCGAAGACGAAAAGAAATCAGTAGTTGAGGATTGTTGTTGGAATAGCCGAAAATTAGCCACAATGGCGTAGATATATTCACTCCCTGACGTCTTCCAGATTATTTATTATCTCATACTATTCTACCTACTTCATATCAGTCTTATTCTAATGTCACACAAACTTGATGATCTAAAGGCGAAAACTAACAAGTTCACTGAAAAGGCAAGGCAAGGCAGAGAAAACGGGACTCCTTTCAAGTGAACGTAGAGAAGACACAGGTGATCATGATACACAACCAACACCAACACCACCACCAACAACAACAACAAGCTCCAATCACCATCACCAATCACGGGAGAAACTCAAAGGAAGTAGTCTCTTTCACCTACACCTACACCTAACTACGCAGAACTGTTTCAACTACAGGTCGCAGCACACGCACAGATGAAGATATCAAGGCCAACCAGGATTGGAATCACAGCAACACAGGCCTTCATTAATCTGAAATCAGTGTGGACATCTACTGCACTGCACTCAGCAGAAAGTGTGAACAACATCCCGATTCTCAACACCAATCCAGTCAAGTCACTGCTTCTGTGTGATGGTTCACAGACCCGGTGCCTTAAGAAAGGCATTTCCAACAAACTACACACACTCATCAACAACTGCCTACGCTGGCTGCTTACTGAAGATGGTGATCAGATGGCAAGAATAATCAGGATAAGCAACGAGCAAATCACTCTGGCTGATTGGCAATGAACCAACCAAGAGCCTATCGCTCAACAAATATGCACTGGAAGGAAGTGGAGATGGATTGGGAGGGCATGCACTGAGAAGACCGACTGGGGACATCACGCACCAGGTCAGGCACTCGACTGGAACCCAGATGGAAAGCGACGAGTTGGGCGTCCCAGTTGAGGGTGGCATGAAGGAGATCGTGTGAGGAAGAAATCAGAGCTTCTGGGCTGTCGCGGAACCAGGTTCAAAAGTTTGCAGAGAACAGAGTGGAATGGAAACGTGCTACTGAAGCCGTATGTTCCACTAGGAACCCAAGGGACAAATAATAATCATAATAATTCTTTAGGTGCTTGTGAAGAGTCACAACTTGAGCCAATTCACTTGCAATCGAGGTTCTACGTTGTACCTGTCTGTCTGTCTATCTATCTTCATGCATGAAAACAGTTTGTTAGACATGATAGACAACAAGATGATACTCCTCTTAAAATAATCAGAACATAAAAATCCAGGTCGGCTTAAAGATTATTGATTATTCATCAAGATATCATAGAATTTGTAAGTAAGGATGATTAAGTTTGAATGACCAGTTGAGTAAGGAGTGAAGATGTTCACAAATGCTAAAACCATTCATATAATTAAAAGACCTAGGGTTGGTGAACATCTCTCTCTCTCTCTCTCTCTCTCTCTCTCTCTCTCTTGAATGCTAGACTAAAGTTTTCTCATCTGAATTGCTTCGAAAGCAATAGGGGAAAGTAGATGCTCACTGACTTTGGCAAGTTTCTTTCCACTTTGTAAATAACTTTGAAAGAGTAGGTGGTGGTTGAGATTGAATAACCAATGTCGATTAGGTGTTTTAATTTACTCGGCTCAAAAGGAGAAAGTCAACTGGTTACCTAGGCGAAGTTCCAACCAAGCATACTCATATATATATGTATATATATATATATATATATATATATATATATATATATATGAGTATGCTTGGTTGGAACTTCGCCTAGGTAACCAGTTCACTAGTTACTAACCAGTCCTAAGCCCGGAAAAAGAGAGAAGGTTGGGCATAGGGTTAGCAGCCCTATCCCGTAAAACCAACCTAACCGCTAAAAAAACTTCAAAGCACAAAGAAAATATAAAACATAAAATTAAACTTATTCCTCGCTAGAATCGGATAGGCGAAATGACGCCAGTTAGTGAAAGCCATTGGGAAGCCAACTGGTCGATGTGTCTTTGCTTCTCTCGATGAAAGCAAAAGTTAACATGGAGACATGGAATTTTCGGAACAATGCTTGAAACTGACTGGCAAAGCTGCCCAAATTGCAACAGAGATGAGAATGTATAGGCATAGAAGTGTTAGGAATCTGTGAAAGCAGAAGGAATGGAAGTGGACTCTCCGAACTCTTAACTGGAGAGTCAAATAGTCTACTCCGATATTGTCAATCAGACGACAACCACGAACACACTGAATTTTGGATTGGTTATCATGATGTCCCCTTGAAGAGCATCGAAGGCTCACTCCCATGCAGTGGGAACAAATCTCTTCCAGGATCATGACACCAAGATGGATTCACCTTAAAAGGAAGGAAACTCACAATCATACAATGCTGTGCTACGAAATTCTAATGGGTGACATGAATGCCAAACTGGGAGCAGACAACACAAGAAGAGGATATCATGGGTCGAGAAGCGCTCGGTGAAATGAACGAGAATGGAGAGCTGCTTGCAGATTTCTGTGCATTCAATGATTTGGTGATTGGAGGCAGTGTGTACAAACACAAGGATATTCACAAAGCGACATGGATTCGAATCCATCGGATGGACACACTAAAAATCAGGTCGACTTCATCTCAATGTGAAGAAAGTGGAGATGCAGTTTACTGGACACAAGATGAAGAAGACGAGCAGATTTAGGTTCACACCAATCACCGTCTAGTGCAGGGAACCTTCCAAATCAAGTTGAAAGCCTTCAAAGAAGCTGGTGATAGATCACAGTTGAAGTTCAAAACCCAGAACAGAAACTGAAGGATGAAACAATAAAGCACATCTTCACGTCAGCCATCAGGACAAAATGGAAGATGTTGAGCAACATCCCTGAAGGATAAGACGTGGAAGAAACAGAAACAGGCGAAAACTAACAAGTTGACAGAAGAGGGGAGGCGGGGCAGCGACGGAAGACGGGACTCCCCTCAGGTGAACGTAGAGAAGACAGAGGTGATGAAGATATCCAACCAACAACAACAACAAAAAGAGGTACCAATCACCATTAACGGGAGAAATCTAAATAAAGTAGTCTTTTCACCTACAAAGCTACCTAGGCAATGCAGCATCGTTTCAACTACAGGCGACGCCACAGGCACAAACGAGGATGTCAAGGCCAGGATCGGAAAGACAAGACAGGCCTTCATTAACCTGAAATCAGTGTGGACATTTACTGTATTGCACTCAGCAGAAAGTGTAAACAACATCCCGATTTTCAACACCAATCCAGTCAAGTCAGTGCTTCTATATGGTTCAGAAACTTGGAGCGCCACGAAAAGCACTTTCAACAAACTGCACACATTCATCAACACCTTCCGCCTACGTTCACTCAATACTGAAGATCAGATCAGATGGCCAGAAAGAATAACCAAGGAGGAACTCTGGGAACGAACCAACGAAGCAAGAACCTATCGCCCAACAAATATGCACTGGAAGGAAGTGGAGATGGATCGGGCATGCACTGAAAAGGCCGAGTGGGGACATCATGCGTCAGGCCAGGCACTTGAGTGGAACCCAGATGGGAAATGACGAGTTGGGCGTCACAGTTGAGGGTGATATGGAGGAGATCATGTGAGGAAGAAATAGAAGCTTGTGGGCAGTCGTGGCACCAGGTTGAAAAGACTGCAGATAATAGAGTGAAATGGAGACGTGCTACTGGAGCTCTATGTTCCACTAGGAACCCAAGGGACAAATAATAATAATAATGCTTGGTTGGCTTGGTTGGTTTCGCACCAGTCAATGTAAGGTGACGCTTTATGATTGGTCTGATGCAAGTAATCCCAGTTTAGTGAAAGGGAGTGAAGTTATGGAATGTGTCAACCACTTCACTTACTGCGGCAGTTCCATCATCCTAAACCGGTCGGTTGCTGAAAAAATCTCAGCTAGAATACAAAAAACCTCTTTTGGAGTTTGCCAACTTGCGTTATCTCTCGTTCCGACTGGCGAAATATCCGACTATTTATCAAAGGATGACCACACATCGCTCCAGTCCATTCTGTTCTGTTATACAACTATGAGACATAGTCGTTGAAAGTAGACGACGTGAAGCCGTTACAGGGTTTTCATCACTGATGCCTTCGTAGCATTGTTCGAGTTCGCTGGAATCATCGTGTGAACAATACTGAGGTCAGGCAAAGGGTACCGGGCAAGTCGAGTGATGATGTTGTGAACCGTAGTCGACTGGGATGGTTTGAAGATGTACTGCGATGGCCCATCATCCACCGCCTACCTCGACGTGCTGAATGTGGCAATTTGACCCAATGCACTTCTGTGTAAGGTTCAACGTTGACTTTGTCTGTATCTGTTTGTCTTCTCATATGAAACAAATTGTACATTCTCACCAGCAACAAAAAAAATGAAATAATGGAATGAATTTACTGATTCTATATTTGTCTTTTCTTTTGAAGACGAGTTCTTTACCTTATACACCATATCCCATACTGATTTCGTTGGTATGTGTGCTACTCCAAGCATCAACTAACGAAATAATCCATTGAAAGTTCCTGAGATCTCTTTGATGTAAGCAGGTTAACAAACCATTCCTTTGGCTATGTGTCACAGTTTCACTGACAGTTGTGAAAACAGTAATTTCCTGGAAGCTGCTGCTGGATATATTTATTACTACTGGATAAATCATAGATAATCTTGAGCTCTTTATCAAAAGTATCATCTAAGCAGACAACTCTTGCCTAGTGAACCAAGCACTTGAATAAATTTCATTTATACTACAAGGCGATGAAATTCGAATTGGTTTTCATCATGGACTGACATAAGTTAGAGAAATAGTTGAAACCTCCGAATGCTGAGACAGATGTTTCCTCTTCCAGCAGTGATGCCTACCCAAGACATTCATGGTTAGCATGTTACAATTGAGCCACTACTCCTGTTAGTTTACCGATATATCATCGTTAAAGTAACTTTTCTCACGTCCGACTTAGTTGGCCCCATGAGTTACGACTTCTCATCAGAAATTCGATATATTATCCATCTCAAAGCATACCAATAGTAAGCATTCAAAAGTGATTGTGTTTTTGAGAATGCTAGAGGCATTGTGATGAGAAGTTGCTTGAAGATTCTTTCTTTTTATTAGAGATGCTTTATGATTGTGGGATAATCATGATTTACGAAAAGGGGTGGGGTGGCGTGGGGTGGAAGATGAATGAGTACGTTTGTCGGGATACTCAAGGGTGTGGAACATTAACGTGTGCACTTTATCAATCAGTAACAGAACTCTGTTTCTAGATGTATTCGTCATAATCAGATAGATAACTTTAAAAAAAACTCAACTATGAACCCATGTATATATCCTTTGTAATATATAACTGGGTCTTAGATATGTTATGGGACAAGAAACTCAAAAATGTTTCAAGGTGGAACATTCCACGGTACTCATGTCCTCTTGAAACTGGTCAGCTGGATGTATCAGCACCCCAATGAGTGACAGTATTCCCGCCCAAAGAGACCCAAACCGAATGCTCATCGCTTTAAACCTAAAAGTATTATCCACTAGTGTTACCCATTGTCTAGGGAATAACACTTTGGCGTTTGAAAGGTTAAATACGAAGTTTGAGTGTCAGTAATCATGAAATGAAAAAATGCACCAATAACATAAACACACATATATTTACCTGGAAAATGTCGTCTAACTGTAGGCATCCAATCGACAGGACTATGAAATCGATGATAATCTCCAGGAGCTAAATAGATTACACACTGATAAAGGCGGTAGTCAGGTTTCTTTTTATTCCAACTTTTCAAATGATCAGTTGGACCAAGAAATTCATCTAGTGAATAATGAATACCTTTGATTTGTTCTAAAACTGGTTTAGTTGCATCAATTGGACCACAATGTAATACTACACCGTCAGCAGGACTAATCTGTTGTCATATGATGAAGGAAAAATATAGCCAAATTAAAGTGGGGAGAATGTTTTTAAACAAAACCCTGGGAAAACGAAAAAGAATCAAAATATAATCAGCAACTACGCACATATTATTGTAGGCAGAAGGAACCGAGTACACACCAAACATCAGTTAGCTGTATAAGTCAATCAGTCACAGCCTTAAACGAAGTACGGCAACCAAACATAAACCTTGAACTGGACAATTCAATTTCCAATAAGTAGCATAGGCCGCTGACTGATTGATTGACCAACTGATGGCTAAACCAGAACTCTCCTTCAAAGGACTTGGTAGTCGTCTGGTGAACTGAAGAGCTTTGGCTTGTGTACGTCTACACCTTACTAGTCGCAGGAAACAGGCGATACTAAAACCTGTCTATGGTCAACTGAAACATCAGAAACTCAAGTACGCATTAAAGGAGAAGATGAGTACCTTTGCATCTCAACACAACACCAATCCTTATCCTGAAACAAACACGGACTGATATCAAATCTGCTGTAGAAACAGCAGTAACTACAATTCGGAACCAACACTCGAAGATTAACAAACATCATTAGATTTCCACAACGTTATCCAAAATGACTGGTCCGAGAACACTGATCCCAATTGGCTATGACCACGACAAAGAGTCCAACCAATGCAAATTCACCAACAGTCTTTGCGTCAAACGCAACCACGCGGGTGGGTGGGTGGCGAAACAGAGACAGACAGATGGAGAAGGCATCAACACTCAACAACTACTTAAACTCACTAGTGATACTGGCAAAAAGAAAACCATGGTTAGTGAAAACATCACTGGAAAGCATGACACCCTGATAAACTCTCAGGACAGGCAACTAAAACTTTGGGCACAACACTTTGAAACACAATCCAACCACACCTCAGCAACACTGCAGTTACCCAACATCAAGCATAAACCTCAATACCAATTAGATGTCAGTCGTCCAACTCACCTTGAAGTTGAGAAGGCTGTATCCAACATCGAACGGTGCAAAGCAATAAGAACTGACAGTTTGCTAACCAAAGTTTTCAATGGTGAAGGTAGGAAATTGCTGACAAAAGTGAGGGAGGTACTAGGTAGTGTAAGGGAATCAGAGGTAGCACCATCAGACTCATCTACTTCACTGATCGTTCCGGTCTATAAGAAGGGAGAGAAATCTACTGGGAAAATTAGTTTGACCAATATCATGGAAAAGATGTATGGATGCATAGTCATCCGACGCCCAACTGGAGCTGGAGAACATCAAAGTTGAGAAGACCGCGTAGCGTTTAGGTCTAAACGACAGTGTATCGGTGAGATTTTCTTACCATCGATACCTATCGGAGCAAATGCACACCTACACCTACCGGCGCCCAACACTTGCCAAATTCGTCGACCTGAAGGCGGCATTTCACTCTGTCAACTGTGATGCACTGTAATAGCGAATGTCTGATTGTATATATCGTTTATTAAAGCTCTCTACTCGAACTCACACAGCTGTGTACGCGATTATGGAGAATTATCATCACAGTTGACGAAAACTACTGGTGTCTGACATGAGCGCCTACTGTCACCGTTCCTGTTCAAATTCGTTGTAGATGTACTAATGTACCTAACCTTAGGCACCCCCAAACTCAGAGGGATTGCTCTGCACCGTGAAGGTCATATGGTTCACTTGGAGTACGCAGATGACACTATACGTTTAGCTGAAGACGCTGACCAAACGCAAGTCCTTCCAGACGCGTTGACCACAAATCTGAGTATGTTTGGCTGATATACGTTCCGCACCTGTGAGACATGGTCGTTGAAAGTAGACGACGTGAAGCCGTTACAGGGTTTTCATCACTGATGCCTTCGTAGCATTGTTCGAGTTTGCTGGAATCATCGTGTAAACACTATTGAGGTCAGGCGAAGAGCAGTGAGCAAGATAAGTAAGTCAGTCAATGAGGTTGTGAACCCTCACCGAATGGGGTGGCTTGAACATTTGTTGCGGATGCTGAGTCACCGCCACCTACTTCAACGTGTAATGCTAGATGTTGAATTAGACTGGAAGAGTCTCTGTTGGTCTTAGTCGTGTAGGGAGATGTAGACTGCCTACACTGTTGGGGAGGGGTATGTCTGAGAAGTTTATTAACATATTGGAAGCCCTATATAAAAGCACATCAGGTACAGTTAGGGCATACAACCTCGTGTCTCCACTGTTCTAAACAAGCAATAGAGTTAGACAGGGCTGCCCGATTTATTAATTCCTCTCTAAATTTGCCATCGATAACATTCTTGAGACACTTGTGAAAAAGGTGCATGATGGTGGTGTAGATCTACTACTCGGAGATCGGCTGTTCAACCTTGAGTACGCAGACGATATCGTCTTACTGTGCGGTAACATATAAGCCATTCAAATCGCAGTAATTCACTTTGTGATTAGTGTTCGTAAGTATGGCATGCTCTTTGCACTTTGCATCGAAGTCCGAAGTACTTTTGCAAGATTGGCAGAAGCCTGCTCTTACGCTCACCCTTGTTCTATCTACGAAGTCATTTGGAAACACCGTCCTTGGTGGCTTGAACATATGGATATGGACATAAGTGGTTGGAGACTCTAGGTGATGATATGACTGAGAATCGATGTCAGCAATGCAGATTAATCCATACACATTATATAAATTCAGTATTTCCTCATTCCTCTCTTTTCACTACTTTCTACTGCTCTTAACCGATGTTTCTTTCTTCATCTTTCATCTTACTGCTTTGTTATTGATTTGCTCCTGATATCTGCGGCACAGTCTGGCAACATGGACCGATAGACAGTTATATCTGGTCCAATGTTGATGGTAGTGATACTGATGATGATGATTCTCACAAGAAAATAACTACTAACTACCAAAAAAGGTATGTTCGCATCCACATCTACTTGCAGTAAATCGTTTGATCAGAATACACATTTATTCAAACAGGCGTATAGAAACACAGAACATCACAAACACACATAATACTCAATATAAGCACAAAATATCAAGATAAATCAGTATATACATAAGGGGACGAGTAATCTGATAATATAACCTGTTGAAGAAGGCGAATAAAAAGCATGAATCAACTTGCTTCACAAGGATCAGCTATACAATATACAATTGCATATGTCCAGTCAATAACTGACAAGGTAAGAAAGACTAACTGCGCATGCACAACATGCTCAGACAGACAGACAGAAAATTGTAAGCTGCAATCAGCTTCTTTCCCATTAAGACTGTAAATTGATGACACAACTCTAAAACACATATCCCAACTACCTCAATAGTTGCAAATTCATAAAAACAACTACTAAAATACTGACAACGTAACTCTATACTCAGAAATCTTCCACTTATCCATATTGTATACATTCAGCACACATGCTATGCACTAGCAGTGGCTCATTTGTCTAGGGAGCTGACTTTCAATCAATGGGTCATAGGTTCGAAACCAACCCTATCGTCTACCCTCACATACATACAATAGGTGTATGGTTTATTGCTTATTGCACAAATTTGTACAAGGTTGTCGAATGCATGCTATGCAATAGTATATTTCAGTAGTGAGATAATTGACTGACATTGGAAGCTGAGAAATTCGATAATTACCGAATAAGTTGTTTCTACCCGCCATCTATCGAGAAGTTGTTAGCCATCCATCCATCCATCTAGGATTGGATGACTGGATGAAATACATAGTATGCAAGATGAGAAATACTTTGTTTGAAGGTTAATGATGGCTGCGTGTAACTGCTGAAAGACCCTGATAGATAAGGTGGAGTATGGTTCCATCCCACGACCAATCACGGTTGCAAGTTAACAGTCTAGACACTCATAAATCATACAGCATGAAACTGTAAAGAAACACGAATATCACGGAAATTATTCAATTACAATGTCATGATTTACACAGAAAAGATTTCAATAATCGCAAAACAGAATATCATTAGATAGGCATGAAAAGCCTAGTGACTTACCAAAGGTGCTGTACAGTGAATAGGTCGTTTATCAGGTGAAAGTTTTCGAATAAAAAATTCCGACAGACAGGCATAACTTTTTAAATCGGGATTCTCAGCTTCACTGATATCACATTGGAAAAATTTAGCATATGAAGTGTACACCAGCGGTCTAAACACTTCTGGTATACGAAATTCAGCAATTCTACCCCAAACTTTCGATAGACCATTCAGTGGAGCATAACGAAGGAGGGTAGCCTGATGATAAGAAGAAGGAGAAGATGCAATTTAAAAAGATGAAAAAAAATGGTTAGCCCGAACGTGATCAGTCTTTACACTAGTATACCAATGAAAATGGCCCAACAGGCAGGTAGGTAGTCAGGAGCTCACCTCCGACTCAAAACACACTCGAACTCGAAGTAATAGTGGATGAAATCATGAATGGAATACGCCTATGCTAGACTTACTTACACAGGTTTGAAGTTTCTAGGGAAAAGTATACAAACAAACTAAAGGAGTTGCTTCATGACCACCAATATCCTGAATATTGGCAGATATATTCATGGATGGATAGTTGACAACAAATTTATGCTTGTTCCTCAGGTATAGTGCAAATAAGTACAGAACACATTTACACTATTGAAATCAGAGCATATTGAAGGATTTCAACAAATATAAATTGAGTTGTACGTGCGAAATCCTATTTACGAATTAGATAGTGATGAAGAGAACACAAGCAATATTGAATAGGAGAATACAACGGTGATAAGGTGGCTTAATTCGACACACTAGTATCGTCTACAGAAAGCCTACACATTCAAATCGATACTTGGACTTCAGTTCATCTCATTCGGTGTGAGTTAAAGTAACTTTAGTAAAATGCATCAATAATAAGCAGAACTGTCTAAATAGTAAACCAGGAAATCTATCGTAGTAAAGTTACCCGGAAGTGTACACGAAATCATAATAGAAAAAGATGAAGTACACAGACACAGATAATAGGCTTACTAGTCTTCTCACCACCCAAATACAAATTTTCGCTTCAAGATTCGTCTTCAGCGGTGCCAAGGCTAACAATAGAGAGTGAAGTGGTTGAGTGTGTCGACCACTTCACTTACCTGGGAAGTAGAATCAGACCTGATGGGTCAGTTGTCGATGAAATCTCTACACGGACACAAAAGGCTCGGTTGACTTTTGTCAACTTACACAACTTATGGCGCCGCCGTAATATTAAGGGTCGCGTGTACTGCGCAGCAGTCCACTCTGTTCTACTCTATGGCTGTGAAACATGGCCATTCAAAGTGGAAGACATGAGAGGACAGGCTTCAAGTGTTTGACCACGGTTGACTTCGTAGTATAGGCCGCCGTATTCCGTGGTGTCACCACACCATGTGAGTAATGCACAAGTCAGGTATAGAGTTTTAGGGAGTGGAGGTAAGTCAGTTGACGAGGTTGTGAACCTTCATCGATTGAGATGGCTGGTTGGGACATGTACTACGTATGCCTAGTCACCGATTGCCTCGTCACACAATGTTGGCTGAGTTGGGTCCAGACTGGAAAAAGGCCCGAGTTGGCCAGACTAGAACATGAAGTCTCTGACTGTTGGTTTGAACCATGTGGGACGATGCAGACTTGGTGGTTGGAGTCGGCGAGACAATAGGAACCAGTGGTTGGAGACTGTAGGTGATATGGGTTAGAACCGATGTGAGTGGCTCAGATGTATACACTCATTGTCCTCATCTTAACGATGCTATGCCGAATCTCACCATTTTGTCATCCTTCCTTTCTCTCTTTTCTTACTTAATATTTCTTTTGACTGCATTCTCTTATCTTCATCTTTCACCTCACTACCTGTCTACTTGATGTACTGATATGAGGTGTGGCAACTCGGACCGTTATGCAGTAATTCCTCGTCCTATGTTGATATTGAGGATGACGATGCTTACTAGTCAGTCATATGGCAACATAAAGAAACAAGAATTCGCAACCTCCACGGTTCCACTATATACGTAAGGTACCACAGAAAGTTTACGCAAGATTACTAACAAAGCTGGAATCACAGTGGGATTTCAACCTACAAACTCATTGAGAAATAAGCTTTGTTGACTGACCAACTGATAAATCAAACTATATTTTGGGTACACAACCACCATCGATTCAAGTTGCCACACTTCACAATGGTATACAACAACCATGTGACTAAGACTTTTTCAACCATTGCTTCCAGTAGTCTTCAAGGTCCCAAGTAGATAGTCCACATTTCTGTCATCACACGAATGAAACCAACAGTGGACTGATGCGACGTCTTAGTCTGGTTACACTCAACCCCCTTCCAACTTAATCTAACTTCCCTAAGCATGGTAGGCTTATGTTGGCGATGGCTCAGCATACATAGAATATATCCAAACTATTTCAGTTGAATAAGGTTCACAACCTCATTAATTGACTTGCCTATTTTTTCCAATACACTTCAGTTGATTTCAACATTGTTCACATGATGATCCAGCTATATGCGAATAATGCACCTTGGTCTAATCTAACATCAGTCTTTTTCTATGCACTTCTTCTTTGTAATACTACTATGAAGTTTGACAATTTGAACCGATATTCACTTCACTGTAAAATACTTGATTAGCTAAACTTCAATTAACTTCGATATAATTTGTTAGAAAGTTATGTAGTTGACAAAGTTATGACGCTGCAGAATGATAAAAGACATACACACTTTTCTCGGTTATGATACACGTCTTTGGTATATAGCATTATACCATAATTAGGTCATCTTCTTATCGAAATCCTTATAGCACACCTTACATACTTATTCGACTAACTAACCTGTACGAATGAAGTTAACAGAATTCGTATAACACACCTGATCAAAGCAGAAAAAAGATGAGATAAATTGGTTTTTATCATAGGCTGACATCAGTTGGAGAGTCAACTAATCAATCAACATACGACCAGGCATTACTGCATAACGGTCCGAGTTGCCACACCTCATATCAGCACATCAAGTAGACAGGTATGAGGTGGAAGATGAAGATAAGAGAATGCAGTCAAAAGAGATATTAAGTAAGAAAAGAGAGAAAGGAAGGATGACAAAATGGTGAGATTCGGCATAGCATCGTTAAGATGAGGACAATGAGTGTATACATCTGAGCCACTGACTTCGGTTCTGAGCCATATCACCCAGAGTCAGTCTCCAACCACTGGTTCCTCTTGTATCGCCGACTCCAACCACCAAGTCTGCATCGTCCCACATGGTTCAAACCAACAGTCAGAGACTTCATGTTCTAGTCTGGCCAACTCGGGCCTTTTTCCAGTCTGGACCCAACTCAGCCAACATTGTGTGACGAGGCAATCGGTGACTAGGCATACGTAGTACATGTCCCAACCAGCCATCTCAATCGATGAAGGTTCACAACCTCGTCAACTGACTTACCTCTTCTCCCCAAAACTCTACACCTGACTTGTGCATTACTCACATGGTGTGGTGACACCACGGAATACGGCGGCCTATACTACGAAGTCAACCGTGGTCAAACACTTGAAGCCTGTCCTCTCATGTCTTCCACTTTCAATGGCCATGTTTCACAGCCATAGAGTAGAACAGAGTGGACTGCTGCGCAGTACACGCGACCCTTAATATTACGGCGGCGCCATAAGTTGTGTAAGTTGACAAAAGTCAACCGAGCCTTTTGTGTCCGTGTAGAGATTTCATCGACAACTGACCCACCAGGTCTGATTCTACTTCCCAGGTAAGTGAAGTGGTCGACACACTCAACCACTTCACTCTCTATTGTTAGCCTTGGCACCGCTGAAGACGAATCTTGAAGCGAAAATTTGCATTTGGGTGGAGAGTAATACATTTAACACATGAGAGTAGTGTACTACAACTTTTTCGTTCTAGTATGCGACTTTTCAGCAGTATACATCACTCATGAATATGCCACGGAGTTGTGAGAATAAGCGCTCAATAATGGCGTTAGATAAAGATCTTACTATATCGTATATGGATTGACAGAAGTAAATAAGTGTGGATCATTGGATTTCGAATTAGTTGTTGGTTAAATCGGATAACGTGTCCCTCAGAGAAATATGAAAGTTCTCACATAATGCCCGTCTAGTGCTTCCAGATTTTCAATGCTTTCCCAATTGATATCAGTCCTTCATGAATACTATCAATTTGAGATCAGTCCAGTCCCTATAAACCTTCAAATAAAACTTTTACCTAGAATGTAAACAACTCTAGACTCAACATTAACGTAATTAATGTAAAAACAAAATTATATTTTTATACAAAATCACTTACAGTAAAATAACGCGGATAATATTCCGGTGTTTCTTCAGTATCCGTAAGGAGTAGAAAGCCTAAATAGGCGGTTAAAAGCCCAGATGTCCATAGAATTGGTTTGAATTTCAAAATCTTTTTAGGTGAATTTGAAATACATACTACTGAAATATGAGAAACAGCATATGACAAGTACCTGGCTTATTTGAACCTTTAAAATATTTTTGAAGACGTGACGGTAGAAAAAGTAAACAAAATTTATACATCCGCTGGTATTTGAATCTATAATATCAAAAAGAAAAGGAATGGGGAGAGCAGGAGTGAAATTTATGCATGCAAAACATAATCATTTACATTAGAATATGTGGTCTGAAATAATATAGATGAAATGTCATGCCTATATACTGATTTCTATCGTCTTGGTGACCCGAGCGAGGTAGTAGTCTACATCTCCCTAAGCTACTCACACAAGCAATTAGAGACTTCAAGGACTGGTACCCGGTCTTGGTCTGACCACCCAGAACTCTCTTCCAACCTAATTCAACTTCTTCAAGCATGGTATATAGAGTTAGCTAGCAGTTGGTTGGCATGCGTGGTATATGCCGAAGGCATCTCAGTCGACTAAGGTTAACAATGTCATCAATCAATTTACCTGTCTTGCCTGGTATCCTTCGCCTGACCTCAACAATGCTCACATAGCGATTCCATCATACGCAAACAACGCTACGAAGATATAAACCTGTGATCAACACCCTGTGGCCGGTTCATGTCAGCACATTAGGAGGAGAGATACAGAAACACAGAAGAAAGTAGTAAAAGTGGTAGAAAGTCAGGAAAAGAAAGCAAAGAGGAACAAGCCAATAGTAAAAATCGGAAATGACGACCAAGATAAAGAAAATGTATGGACGCATCTAAACCATTGAAATCAATTTTCAGCTATATCACGTACAGTCTCCATGCACTGATTTCGGTTGTTACACTCACCAGACAAACAGGTAAACATTTCATGAACTGATGGCATGTTTTAGTCTGACCACCTCGAGCCCTTTTCTAGCCTGAACCTACTTTCAGCTAACATTGCACAACTGGGCAGACGGTAACTGGGGTCAGTAACAAATGACCCAAATATTTGAGTTAATGAATAATCTTTGACATAATACTCCGCGCCTAACTTCTGCGTGGCTTAAGTGATGGTATTATAACACACGACCTATGCTGAGAAGACAATTGTGATCGAATACTCTCTCTTAGCCTCTGTCATTAGTGACTTTGTTTTACAGATATATAGTAGGACAGAGAACTACAGTGCAGTTACACATGATACAACAGGGTATCGGATATCACGATCCCACTATAAAAGGCGTAAGTTGACAAAGGTCACACGAGCGCAGATTTCATTAGGTCAATGATCTATAAAGGCTGTTCTTACTTTACAAGTATATGCAGTGGTCAATGCGTTAAACCACTTCATTTCCTAATGTTAGATTAGGCACTAACGCAGAACAGTCTCGCAGAGACAATATGCGTTCATGTGGCAAGAAATATATCCTAAACAACCAAAAAGTTCCAAAAAACTACATTTTGATAGCGACTTCACTTAACAGGACCACGTCATCTGAGTACGTTGTTTACTTAGGAGTCAACTGTAAGTCACTCCTTGCGAATTTTGATCAGAATGGGAAGATTATAACAGGCACGCCTTTGACTAAGTCGGATAAGAGTACAGAGAGTGAACATCTTTGATGTTCACAACTCACCACAGGCTCTAACAAGCCTGTTCGTGTTCAGATAAAGACCATCCAACGGTGTCATCATCATTATCAACATAGCACCAGGCATTACTGCGTAACGGTCCAACTTGCCACACCTCATATCAGCACATCAAGTAAAAAGGTAGTGAGGCGAAGAATGAAGATAAGTGAATGCAGTCAAAAGAAATATAAAGTACGAGAAGAAAGGAAAGAGGAGTGACAAAATGGCGAGATTCGGTATAGCGTTGTTAAGATGAGGATAATGTGTGTATACATCTGCGCCACTGACTTCGGTTCTGAACCATATCACCTAGGGTCTCCAACCACTGGTTCCTATTGTCCCGTGGACCCCAACCACTTAGTCTGCATCGTCCTACATGGCTTAAACCAACAGTCAGAGACTTCATACATTGGTGCCATGTTTTAGTCTGGCCACCTCGGGCCTTCCTACCAACCTGGACATACTTCGGCCAACATTGTGTGACGAGGCAATCGGTGACTAGGCATACGTAGTACATGTCCCAACCAGCCATCTCAATCGATGAAGGTTCACAACCTCGTCAACTGACTTACCTCTTCTCCCCAAAACTCTACACCTAACTTCTGCATTACTCACATGGTGTGGTGACACCACGGAATACGGCGGCCTATACTACGAAGTCAACCGTGGTCAAACACTTGAAGCCTGTCCTCTCATGTCTTCCACTTTGAATGGCCATGTTTCACAGCCATAGAATAGAACAGAGTGGACTGCTGTGCAGTACACGCGACCCTTAATAGACAAACGAATATCACGGCGGTGCCATAGGTGGCGCAAATTGGCAAAAGCCAATCGAGCCTTTTGTATTCATGCAGAAATCTCATCGGCAACTAACCCACCGGGGTTGATCCTACTTCCCAGGTAAGTGAAGTGGTCAACACTTACCTGGGGGGTACTTCCGCCTCGCACCAACTTCAGCGACAGACATTGTCTTAATGCCTCTCAATCAGTGGAGTCAAATACTGCCCTCATGTAGGAAATAATACAGCTTAGTGTCGGGCACCAATGAATGTGTTTGCATTCCAGAACCTGTCGGCGAGCTGAATATCTGGTCGATTTACACAAGATCAGGCCTAAAACTCACCTGCGTCCCTCGCCTTTGCTATTCTCAAGCTTTACTAAACTTTCGACTGTTTGTAGAGGATAGGATCTTGGACAATATGTTCGTCAGACTGATTCCCAAATGACTATCACAGGACGATTTATCGCATTTTTCTGAAGACAAGAAGAATCAGTGAACGAGATCATTCAGAACAAATTATGTGTGATTTCCATATTCTAGCTAACACCAGTTAACGTAACCAATAATCCTCGACCACTGCCCTTAAATAACTCTAGCATAGGTGCATAGGGGCTTGTTGTCCTGTCTCGTTTCAAGCTACTTACAGCCTTCTCGGTTTCTGCTTCTCAGTGTTCACTTCTGGATCCAACTAGATATCGGGTAACCAAACAGCAACTGAAAATCAGTTGAACTGCTACCTGGAGTATTTCGCACACGTGGGCCTGTCAATTCAGAAGAAGCTGCTGAGACCAACTGACGTTTACTAACCAATTTATGATAGTTACTGTACTTAATCCTGTTTTTACAGTAGATTGGAGATGGCACTAGCCTTCTCCAGAATAAGTGGTGTTATCCTGTTCCGATAAACATATAACCAGTTTCTTGTTGAGAGCTACTTTAGTATTCTTATCGTCAGGCTGCACTCAGAATTATCGTGTTGTTGTAGTTTCCGTAGGCACATGCATGATCATTGTCTAGACGAGTGTCCCAGAAGGAGCGGTAATTATTAACCAAACTGCTGCAGCGGCGACTGGTAGTAATATGGTCAACCTTAGTGCATCATTGAGCTGAGGTCAATGGACGCTGAGTCAAACAATGCGTCTCTATGTCTGATCAGAAAAAGATGGTTGTCTGAGTACAGTTGTAGCAGACGACCGCTATAATCGGTTCATTCCTTTAGTATTCCAAAACAGTCACCCAATCCTGTTTCTAAATAACTTAGCCTACGCACTGACATATTGAAATTAACAGCAACGACAACCACGTCTGAACGCTTGGCTTTAAGTAGAAGGCTGGATAGATTTTGATAAAACTTTTTTCATTCTATTCAAACTGCAGTTAGTGAGTGTATCAGCAGAGAATACGGACAACAATTCTCAGCACATAATTCAGTTAAACTGAACACAGATGACTGTCAACTGGAATGCAACTAAGCAGTTCACTTTCAGCTCTAGGACTAAATGCTACATCTATATCAACAAAGTCAAAAGAGCAAGCCATTTCACTTTAGAGCTTTGATAAGGATTATATGCTTTCTCAGTACTCCCTTCACAGTCAGACACTGCCACAAGACCCGACGAATGACAGAGTTAAATGCTGATTTTAGGTCGAGAAATATGGCAAGTGTCGGCCGCCAGTAAGTATGCCTGGGTTCTAGAATCTATCAGAGGGTGGAAATATGATTGATACACTCTCGTCCATCTTTGCCCAAAACCTCGCTGGTTATCTCGAGTTTTTGTTCTCGACCTCCAGTTAGGCGTCGGATCACTATGGAAACTAGTATTTCAACACAATATTAGTTCCCCTATGATTGTCACAGGAAGACCTCTCGCCTTTCTTATAAGCTGGAATGATCATTGAAGTACACGTGTTAAACGGCGCTACCTCTAATTCCCATACTTCCATCACTTCGAAAAGCAATTTCCTATCTCTATCCTTGAAAACTTGAGGTGGCAGACTGTCATGTCCTGCTGCTCTGCTTTGTTCCCCCAACCGATGGCTACTACCTTGATGTGGTGGTCGCGCTTGCATGTTACAATGATCCAACGAGGTATGCTGGTTGAACGCTTGTTCCTTCAAGGTACTACCATGCCAGAAAGTTCTGTTAGATAGCGGTAAGACGAGAAGCAATTACCGTTCTAGTGGAAATTACTACACTATGATGGGTGTCTGATGGCGAAGTCGTACTGCTATTAGCAGGATAGGATGTGAGCGCAGTAAGGTGTTTCCCTTGGATGACCAGCAGTGCCACGCTAAAACTATCTTCCCAACGGTAGTGGTATGCTTATGCTTGCAACAGGGGTTCATAGTCGGATTCAAAAACAAAACTCTCAGAACTGTCAAAAGGCTGTGTGCGACACGTCTCAAGCAAATGTCCCCTGGGCTCTGTGGTCTAACAAACGTCTTTCCCTTTCAGGTACCTCAAGAAGAAACAACCTTCCACGGTATGGGCGACCGGGAGGTGTCAATCACCCGCACGCCCCCAGTGGTACATAAGACCCATTCACACACAACAAATCCCCCTCAAGTGTCTCCACCTCTACCTTCACCTCCTGAAACTAATATTTAGCCTCTTACACCTTACCCAACCTTTCACTCCGCAGATATTGTTAACGATCAAAGCCATCTATAGCTCATTCCCAGTCTCCTTAGATCCCGTTATCGATTTTATGAAGGAGCTTTCAACGTCCAAACTCCTTCAAATCGGACAGCAAGTATCCCTCACTAAAGCTCTGAGATCTCTAGCCATGGATGTACGTTGTGTCTCTGAGATACGTATACAGGACCAGAGTGTGGTTATCAAACTGACCTCACCTGATCATAGTAGTGAATCTTCAAAATCCACCTTATGAGTGTCCGGAGACCCAATGGCTAGCTCTCGAGGACTCGCTGGTGTAGGTATAGAATTGAGTTGTAGAGCACAGTGCCCTTTACGACTGGATACCAGTCTACAGTCGTCTATGTGCTGTTCGACTAAGTGGATCTGTATGGACTAAAAAAGATAGTGATACCAACCGATGCTTATTCGTAATCTCCGCCTAGGCACCCACCGACTGTAGTTCGGACAATCCAGAAGCTGTCAATTTTGCTACAGAAAACAAAATGTTCAAACGTAGTCATAATGGTAGGTGACTTTAACGTTCAAGTAGGGAAGCAGAGCCAATCGGAGAGACATCGAGGAGGTATCTATGGGATCCCATACCAGTGAACCGAAAATAGTGATCGCCTGTTGCAATTTCGCCCTGACAACCACTCGTTTTTGGCCAGCACTAACTTTAAGTAAGAGGACATACACTGTGTCACATGGCGTTCAAACCAAAGATCGATCTCACTGTTATAAGCCATAGTTAGAGAGGATTGGTGGAGGATTGATGCTCATTCTGGAGTGCCAGTTTCGACTCCGATCACGCTCGTGTAGGTCTGTACCTTACTAGTCGCAGGAAACAGGCGATACTAAAACCTGTCTATGGTCAACTGAAACATCAGAAACTCAAGTACGCATTAAAGGAGAAGATGAGTACCTTTGCATCTCAACACAACACCAATCCTTATCCTGAAACAAACACGGACTGATATCAAATCTGCTGTAGAAACAGCAGTAACTACAATTCGGAACCAACACTCGAAGACTAACAAACATCATTAGATTTCCACAACGTTATCCAAAATGACTGGTCCGAGAACACTGATCCCAATTGGCTATGACCACGACAAAGAGTCCAACCAATGCAAATTCACCAACAGTCTTTGCGTCAAACGCAACCACGCGGGTGGGTGGCGAAACAGAGACAGACAGATGGAGAAGGCATCAACACTCAACAACTACTTAAACTCACTAGTGATACTGGCAAAAAGAAAACCATGGTTAGTGAAAACATCACTGGAAAGCATGACACCCTGATAAACTCTCAGGACAGGCAACTAAAACGTTGGGCACAACACTTTGAAACACAATCCAACCACACCTCAGAAACACTGCAGTTACCCAACATCAAGCATGAACCTCAATACCAATTAGACGTCAGTCGTCCAACTCACCTTGAAGTTGAGAAGGCTGTATCCAACATCGAACGGTGCAAAGCAATAAGAACTGACAGTTTGCTAACCAAAGTTTTCAATGGTGAAGGTAGGAAATTGCTAACAAAAGTGAGGGAGGTACTAGGTAGTGTAAGGGAATCAGAGGTACCACCATCAGACTCATCTACTTCACTGATCGTTCCAGTCTATAAGAAGGGGGAGAAATCTTGCGAAAACCATAGGGGAATTAACTTGACTAATACTATGTTCAAGATACTAGATTACATAGTTATGCGACGCCTAACTGGAGCTCGAGAACAGTAAACTCGAGAAGACCAGGCACGTTGCAGAGAGACCCTATCAATCAGAGACTTCGCGAATTGGTGCCACGTGTTGGTTTGGCCATCCTAAGCCTTTTTCCAACCTAATCCAACTCATAGGATCATACATCTCTGCATCATTGTGACTGATTTGGATTTTTAAATGACAAATAAGTGGTAAGGTTGACTTCGATCGTGGATTTTCGTGCACTTCCACTGGGCACCTTCTAGTTTTGTTAGTTTCAACATAACTATGTCTTTCAACACCGATCTTTTATCATCGAAATCCAACAATTTAGAGTCAACTTACGTTCTTAGTTCACAAAAGTTGTCAAAACGATTTACTGTTGTTAATATGGGGTTTTTTTAAAGAGCTTCCAATTACATTGGTGCAGCTGTATCTCATTAGTGGCCCACGGTTTTGTAAACCATTCCCCGCTTACTGTGGTTTGGCAGGCCAGAAAGCAGCATAAGCCATCACACAATAGACATAGCTCACTGTCTAGTACATTGCTTTACTCAGATGAGCAGTATCGTCAGTCGTATGGAGACAGACAAATTAGCGTAGAACCTTTTCACAGAAATGCATTGGTTTAAGCTTCCAAACTTCATGAAAATGGAGATTGAGTGAAAGAAAAAATCAACATAGAACCTCGCACACAACTTTATCGGCTCAAGTTGCCATACTTTACAGGAGTACAAAAAAGAGGAGGTGGATAGAAAGGGAATGATGTCAGAGTAAATACGCTAGTGTGAGAGAATGAACAACATGAAGATAAAGATTAGTGCGAATTATCAAGCCTTTAAGGCGTAAGATATTTAATATTAGTATCAGGAGGTGAAGGCAAAAGAGGAGACAGTTGAGGGGGATAGGTTATGTGTGAGTAGGCCTTATGTACTATTAGCAGCGTGAGGGTAGTTGACACTTTCTTGTTGTCCATATCGTGGGAGGTTGTTTCTTCTTGAGGTACCTGCAGGGGATATTTGCTTGAGGCTGGTCACGTACAACTTTTTTGATGACCCGGCAACTGGCTTGTAGAATGGGAGATGAAGTTGGACATACATTCTGTGGTTTTGAATTACCACTACCTAATGATGACTGATCCAAGCCACCGTAATGCACCACCTTATTGTTTAAGAACACGGGGGTAACTGCTTAATGTCGAAGCACTATTCAACAGACTGCTGGTACGGCAGGACCTCGAGGTAACAAGCGTTTCATCGGTACCAGTCATTGTGATATACAAGTCCGACCACCACGTCAAGGTAGCAGCTATCGGTGGGGGAAGCAGAGAGTAAACGGAGAAGCACAGACTTCAGACAAATGTACAGATTCTGTGGATTAACTGCATGTTATGGCGTAACCAAGGACAACAAGCTTCCATACCAATTCTGTTTCGGCCAACATTGCATATCTAAGGTAGATAGCTGGTACATTTAGCTAACCAGAGCCAAATTGGAAGATACTTAGACACGGGATTTCACTGGAAGCCAGCACGAAGATAATATGTGTATTACCTGTGATAATTAGACTGAATGACAGCCAATGGTTAACTAAAAGTCAACAAAATGGAACACAGCTCGGGGTAAAAAAATGACAAACACAGTGGAAACACCACATAAAAGCGACATGTATCTGTACATGTGTAGATAAGAAATTTAAACGAATCATGTGATCAACAAGGTCAGTTTTGCTCGAAATATAACCAGTCAGTCAATTAATATCAAAATACGACTTGGGATTCCTGCATAACGGTTCAAGTTTCCACGACTCGCATATCAGCACACCAAGTGGCGTAGCAGTAAGATGAGATCAAAAGAAAGAGAAAAATAGGCTAAAGATAGTGGAGAGCAATGAAAGAGAGAAAGAAGGAATTGAAAAAAAGTACTGAATTCAGTATACTGGTAAAGATGAAAATAGTGTGTATGGGTACATCTGCAACGTTGACATCGATTCTCAGACATATCATCTAGACTCTTCAACCACTGTTTTCTGTTGTCACGTCAACCTAAACCGGCTAATCTGAAATGAAATCAGTCTTCTTCTGATTTTAAGTGCATAATACATTTTACTATTATTGATATTGTGAATAGACTTGAGGCGTTACTATATACAATAGAGTATTAGGTACCTGTTACTTAAGAACTGTCTGAACGACAAACGCATTTTGTCGAACATATTTACAATGACTTAAAAACGTCAACAGGTGACTCCTATTTAATAATACTTCTGGGAAGTGATTTTTGCTTTTTTTTCTTCAACTACACAGAATGCGGTTAAATAAACGCTTAGACAGAAAAGACGGAAAATTAAGGTAACACTTTGCATACAGGTGCATCGGCCCACGTTGCTTTACATTACACAGTAGTATGTACAGGACAAGTGACAGAAAAAGTGATATCAAAGTAGACAAAGTTGTCCGTGAATAAACAATCTGAAGATAAAAGTTAGTGCAAATATTCAAGTTCTAGATGCCAAGGACTGAATACACTTACGCCACTGTGGCCGATTTTCATCCATGTCACCAATAGTCCTCAACTACGGATTCATTTCGTATTGCGGACCCCAACAAGGTGGCCTACATTTTCCTACATAACTCATGCACTTCATGCACTGGTGCCACGTCTTCGTCTGTCCACCAAGGAACCAATCCCAACCTTATGCAAATTACCAAGTATCGTACGTCGAGATAGACCGTTAAGTACACCCTGACAAGGACCTGTGATAAGATTCGTAGATTCATAGTATTAGGAATGAAGGAAATAACAATAGTCTGTAATAAGGAACACAAGCTAGTAAGCAAAGAGATAATAGGATTGGTGTATTTTTAATTTCATAACTCCGTAGCTTTTGAAATGAGGTGTAACATGCTTATTGAACTTAAAAGCTACTCGATTTACTTGTACAAATAATATATGGGTGCATATGACCATTTAATTTTATGTCAGAAGCGACTGTGACTGTACCTTTTTCACAATTTGACCGATTCAAATCTTGATTCCATCTGCAGTCGACCTAAAATCTGCATCAAAACTTCATATACAGCTAACCCTTGCAACTGTGAAGTGTCGGCGTAAATCATAACACCCATCCTCAATGTACAACTTCCAATATCAATTGTGTAAATAAGGGGAAGTTGCAGCGTTTGTACTTCCGCTCTAAGGTCTTGAGGCTCTGTTTTTTGTTCTTTTATACTCCTTCAAAGGTCACACGAATCTCTATGTTTTTCCTGCTGATGGCTTTAGAGGTGGCGATTGTCCAATATCCAATATTGATAGTGCGAGGGTAGAAAATTGATAGTTTTTGATCTCTCGCGTCTAGTTCCTAGGGTTTGGTTCTAGTTGTTTGGTTCACTCCTGCAGTGGACGAGGAAATCCCCTCTGCTTTCTTGCTTTTAGCTTCGGTGAGGTAGACGTTTTGTGGGTAAGTTGTAATTTGTAGAGTGATTGGGGAGCTACGGGTTGCTGGGAAGTTTAGGAAACTGCCGTGACTCCTGTCTGTGTGGGTACCCGGAAGAAAATGGTAAGGCAGTGGCAAAAGGATGAAGAAGAGAAAAGAAAAAAGAAAAAGAAAAATAAGGGAAGATGAATAGGAAAAGAAGAGGAGGAGAAAAGGAGGGGTGAAAAAGAGAAATAAGAACGAGAGAAAAATATTTGGGAATTGCGCGAATAGAAGCTTGGGTTTGGTTTCTACAGAAGAATTGGCAAGTAATGTCGGTGTATTAAGGAGGGAGATAGTGAGTGGTAGTCGGGAGGGAGTTGGGGGCCAGTGAGGTTGGTGACTACCTGAGTACGTCCGTGGTAGTCCATGCGAGGTGACATAACTGTCTAATCGCCTCTTGAATGAGTCGACTTAGGGAGCTATAACGATATGTCGCGGTAAGGCATTCCATAAAGCACATACTCTTAGGGAGAAAAATTTGGACCTGAGTATGGTGTTGGCTCTCTGGTGTGCTATCTTAATGGGGTTTCCTCGTGAAGATCGTTGAGTTGCAGGCAAAATTGATTTGTTTGCATGGTCTGCCTGATGGGCGATCTTGTATGCCATAATGAGGTCACCCCTTTTCCTGCGATAACCCAAGGTAAATAGGTTGAGGTGTTTAAGTCTTTCAGGATACGTCTTTCCCCTTAGCCCCACAACAGATTTTGTTGCAGTTCTTTGTATTCTTTCAAGGAGATTAGAGTCTCTCTTGAGTGTTGGAGGAGCCACCGTATTGAAGACCTCTAGATGCGGCCGCACGTAGGATTTGAAAATGGTGGGGAAGAGTTCGGGAGTGAGGGCGCCAAGCTGTCTACGCAGAAAGTGTAGAATGGCGTTCGCTCTGGTTGTCATACCTTTGTAGTTGGAGCTGGTGTCCAAGGTGTCGGAGAAGTTGAGCCCCAAATCTTTCTCCATGGACACTCTGGTGATAGCACGGTTGCTCAACATGTACTGGAAGTCGGTCGTACTTGCTTCATTTTTACTGATGTGCATTACTTTGCACTTTTCCAGGTTGAAGCTCAGGCCATTTTCCGACGACCAGAGCTCGAGTTGCTGCAAGTCCTTTTGTAGTGCTGCAATCAGCTTCTTCGTTTACCACCCTCCAAATTTTTATGTCGTCAGCGAAGAGGAGGATGGGTGAGGATATTTTGTCTGGCAGATCGTTGACAAACAGGAGGAACAGAAGCGGTCCTAGGATTGCTCCTTGGGATACTCCTGACGTCGACGGTCTCCACTCCGACCTTATTCTGTTCACTTTAGTGCAGAACTGCCTCCCTTCCAGGTACTCCTTGAACCAAGAGAGTAGGGGTCCACTTATACCAGCTGACATGATCTTGTGAAGCAGTACTGTGGGTGGGACACTGTCAAATGCTTTGGCTAGGTCGAGAAATACAACATGTACAGGTTTTCTGTTATCCCAGCTTTGTGTCCAGTCGTCCCAGGCGGTTAGTAAGTTGGTGGCACATGAGCGACCACTCCGAAAGCCGTGCTGAGCAGTATGTACAGTGTTTTCCCTATTGAGGAATTCCCAGATGGTGTCAGCTACCAGGCTTTCCAACACTTTCGACACAATAGGGAGTAGGGCAATTGGCCTGTAGCTGCCAGGGCTTTTTCTGTCTCCTCCCTTGAAGATGGGTGACAAGATGGAGCTCTTCCATTCTTTAGGGAGTTTGCACGAGTCTATTGAGTGCTCAAAGAGGTTGCGAAGTGGTTTGGTAAGCACCTCGGCGCAGTTTTTCAGAACCACTGGTTTTAGGTTATCGCAGCCAGGGGACTTGCCCGGACGTAGCCTAGATAGCTTCTCGAACACCTTTTTCTCTGTAATAGAGACGTGACAGAGGTATTCGTTATTTGCGACCTGGTCGGTGTCGTAGCGAGTCGGTGTGGATCTTGTGTCAGTGCTGAGTTGGGCTTGGAAGTGTGAGCTCAAAAGCTCGGCAATCTCTAGACTGCTTAGTACACTCCCGTCATGGCCTGTGACAAGATTCACTCCCTTACTGGTCGACTTTCTTCTCGACATGAAGCGGTACAAGTTTTTGGGATTGCTTTGTAACCTCTCTGCCAAGTTTGTTTGGTAGGAAAATCTGTCGTTACGCACTCTAATGTTACAGCGGTTGCGAATCCTTTTGTAGTTCAAGAAGTCAGACTCCCTGCGTGATGAACGCCACTTGAACCAAGCCTGCTTCTTGCTCTGGATAAGCCTCTGTGTCCCACGCTTTAACCATGAGGTTCTCATTGATTGTCTGTGTGTTACTTCTGGTACACTGTGACTGATGGCCCCAGTGATTATTTTCTTCACCTCCAACCAGTGTTCATCTATTGTGAGATGAGCCCAGTCCACTGGCGATGATGCATTCATGAGGTAGTCCCTCATGGTCTCATAGTTGGCCTTGCTGTAGCAAGGGAAGGTGTTGGCGTCTCCAGTTGCAGAGCCCCCCTAGTTATCATGGAGAAGGTGATTACAGCGTGGTCACTGAGGCCGGGGGGGTTGGATGCAAACATCCTCAATGAGAAGTTCATCGTTCGTCAGAACGTAGTCAAGGCGCGATGCGTTTCCGTTAGGTCCCCAGCGTGTAGCATCACCCACTTTCTCTGAGAGGCCAGCAGTCTTAATTGCATCCTTCAGCTTCTGATTGAAGGATCTGATGCGTCTCCCTTCCGTCTCGAAGAGGATGGACGGGGTGTTGAAGTCGCCGGCAATGACTACGGAATCGTAATTTGCAGAGGAAGTCGTTAAGATAGCCTTGATGATCATTTCCTTATGTGTAGGGAGCAGGTGGGGGACCGATATATGACTCCGAGCAGGTATTTGGTACTGTGGAGAGTGAAGTAGCACCATAGAGACTCTGGGAGCTGGGTTAAGGCCGTATCGCTAACCATCCTTGCCTTTAAACAGGAGTTTACGTAGATAGCCACTCCCCTCCTGCTCTATGTTCCCTGTCCCTGCGGAAGAGTTCCATGCCAGTAACATGCATCTCTTCGTCGGAGATGTCTGGTGAGAGCCAGGATTCGGTGATGAATATGATGTCGGAGTGCTGATGTTCACGCAGCGTCCTCATTTCTGCTACCTTCCCTCTTAGCCCCCTAACGTTGCTGTACGTACATATTAGAGTGTGCCTGGTGAGAGGGGAGGGATGGTTGTGTATTTCCGCGGGAGAAGTGCTCACGTGGTTGGGTGCAGCCTCGCCAGTCCTCATAGGACCGGCATCTTTCAGTCCTTTGTGTTTTGTTTTCAACTTAGGTGGGGGCTGTGGCAGTGGGGGCTTCTTTACTCGATGCGCCTAACTCACTGGTCAGCACCTGTGTGACGACGACTGATCCAGAGGTCTTGGTGTTTGCCGTCTCCCCTCTTGCCTTGCGGGTCTAGGCTTACTTTCACACACACGTACTGAGCCACCCATGCGATCTTTTGCGTTACACCATGTGTGTAGAACGTCTGTGAGGGAGGCATATGAGTCGAGCTGAACGGGAGTGGGTATGGACTTCAGGTGTCAACTTGAAGGTTTCCTTCTGTAAAATGTGGCCAGGTTTGTATGGAGGAGCAACAAAGCTGCTGACAAGAACAATTAACTTATCGATATTCCCGTCGTTGCAAGATCCTGCAAACCAGTTTTAAGCTGTGCTGAAAAAGTTGTGGTAGAACGAGGGTGAGTAGGCAGTGAAATATACTTGTGGCAAATAAATGTTCCTATTAATGATAAGGAGAGTATGTGCACCGGATTTGAGATGCTAAGTCTGGGTAATACCTTCAATTTCCGTCGACGAAATTTGCTGGCATGCTGTTTGTGCCCACATATTTGGGAACTGATCTTGCGCGAACTTGACGGGCTTAAAGGCCAGACGAGCGCAAGACCAAGAAAGAGCGCTATGACGTGGCCAGAGGGAATAATACATTTGATAGACCTTGGAAAAATACCGATTGATTTCGATTAACTGAGGAGTGATACAAAATATTTGTTTTTTCTGTTATTTACTCTAATATGCCAAGCCAGGATTACACAAGTACAATACACCTAGTACAATAGACCATGAGGGACAGTTGGAGGGTTAGGGATTCAAGCTGCCTTATTGGAGGGTGCATGACGGCGTTCATCTCTGCCTCCATTCCTTTATAGTTGGCATAAGTATCTAGTGTGGCAGAGAAGACTAGTCCCGTGCCCCTCCACTTAGATACCCTGGTGACTGCACACTTGTTGAGAATGCAACTGGTGTTCATCGGTTCCGGCCTGCGAATATATACCACTTTGCGCTTGACTAGGTTAAGGCTCAAACCGTTCCCGGATAACCAGGTCTCTCACTGCAGTGAATCATCTTGAAGTATCCCAGGCTCCTCTTCTCTAACTATTACCCTCCATATTTTGATGTTATATGTATATATATGCTATATTTCTGAATGTTGGTGGTAACTACGTGACTGTGTTGAGCTGCTAGTCAAATAGGCCTCTCAGTAGTTGCGCCATTGCAATGCTACTTAAAACTTCACCATTAGGTCCTGTGATAATGCCTGAACCCTGATGTGCCGGCTTGCTTTGTGA